TTCTATGATTTCACACTTAAAGGCCACCTACATGTATAGAAAAACAGATATTTGCTACACTGTAAAACCCCATTTTAAATGCAATTCTAACTATGGATATATGACAAGTGTAATAATTCAACTATATATTTTTTAAAACACAGTAAAAGCTTATATTGAATTGATCATCTCTCATAAAAAATGACAGTTTTGAAAGAGACGGGATCTAAAGTTTGATACAGTAACAAAAAAAATACCTTCAGAGCGTTACGTGCATATTAAGAAGAGAGACTATAAGCAGAAGCCTGAAGACAAATTTCCATTATAAGTATGAATATCATACCTATGCCCATAATAATATAACTTGTTGATTTTACAACATGTACCGGGGATGCATTTCAGAAAGGTTCTCTCTCAAATAACGAGAGGAAAAAGAGAACGGTTATCACAACCCATTAAAGCTTAACTTGAAGAGTGTGCCCGCTGTAAACAAGCAACTGAATCTGCTGTAAGGAATTTGAAAAGAAAAACCTGAAAGAAAGCACTAATGGGAAGAGACGATAGACACACCTGTTTATAATTTAAACCTTTATGTCAAAGGATTACTTACCCCTAACACACTCTATAACTTTTGGTCTTTGAGGTTTGGATTTGGGAGAAGGAGAGTTGAACCTGAGATATGGCGCTTTTTTAAGCGTGCTGCGGTGGCCCTGGTAAATTGGTCTCCCATATACCTGGGACAGATACTCTTCATTCTGTACCGTGCTTGCTTTCAGAGGTCCCTGCACAAAACAAAAGCCATTTCTAAATTCTCCATATGTGAAGAACTAAATGTGTAATTATTGCTACACATTTTTTCCAGCAGTTTTACATTTTGTGATGTATTATGGACAAATAAGATATAGAAATGAAACAGTGTTAGGTGAACTGTAAATCTTGGCATTTGTTTTACTTCCTATGTAATTTGATAAATTAGTTGTCATTATGCATAACAACTTTTGCATAAATCAGTATCAAGTATACAATCAACGTTACCTTTTTATACCCTGTTACATATTATTTATTAAGCGCCAATAAACGCTGTACTCTACAAGCATAAAAATAAAGTCAGTCCTCACAATGGAAACTCAAAGGAGGGAGCCATTTTATTTTAAATTTGCATTTATGGTTATATTAATTATATATGAAGTAATGCACACTCAAACAACCCTTTAAACAAACCCTACAAATCCTGTGCCTTATAGCATAATTGTCCAGAAATAAATGTTCAGTATTACAAATACTACTCAACTAGCACTGTATGTAGAGAAATATTTGCCTTACATGTGAACATTTTAATTACTGTCAATCATAAAGCAGGACACTGACCGTTCCAATTCAGTTCTCTCCTGGAAACTGAAGTAGGGCAGTCATTACCAGAAGGACCTACAAATAATAAACAAAACCCTTTACCTCTGCCCTTCCTTCTTTCTTCAGCAAAGTTTCAGAAACTGAGTAACTTCTCAAGCTCTGTCTTCTAAAGTTATCCTCTGACTGCTTCTGAGAAGGCTTAGCAGCAGATAAATGCTTCTTTGTTAAGGATCCTTGGGTTTTTTGAGTTTTTGCTTTAATTTCTTTGTTGGTCTTCATATCCCTGGTATTCTGTGTTCTCTTGGTCCATGGAGTCTTCGGATCTTTTTGATTATATTGTGTTTGTTCATAATCATTTTTTGCCATTTCTGCCTAAAGATCAAATGGAAACATAGTCAAACGAGATTTTATGTTCAAGTCTATTAGGAAAGGCTAGGGGCAGCTTTGAAGTTCTGACAAATAGTTTGTTCTTCATGTTAAACAGTAACTGTGATGTAGTGATTTTCAATAAACTGAACAAGTTTTAAAATAGGTGTGGATATTTTGTTGTTGAGCTACTAACTGGCCTAATAGTCTCCTGATGTTTTCATATTGAGAGTGAACAATATTTCTTAAAAGTCTACATTTTAAAAAACCACAAGAGTGTCTTACAATGCGAGAAACTTTAACTCAAACATTTTCTTCCAGCCATACCTGAATTTCCACAGTGATTGCTTTAATCCACTCATCTACTGTCTTCCTGATACGAATCTCCTCCAATACATGTCTGAAACACAAAGAAGAAAAAGCTATGTTAGGTCAATGTTTCTCAAACTGTGATGAGTTAGTTCCTGATAATGTAGTGACCTGTTCTGAGGCTTTAAAAAGCACAGGGAAAAGAAGACTATTAACTTACCTACAATTCTTGATCTCTGAAGGTATTGGATGTATTCATACTACTTTCCCACGCCTGCACCTGTGCTTCTAGTACATCATTGTTGGAAGCGCCCATATTTCTATGCCCTAGTACAATTAATCTGCCTCACAAGTAGGTGCCATGCACTTACTCTCATGAGATGCTATAGCAGTCCCTATTGCCTCATATGTTCCTTTTTTGAACAAAAGGTGAAAAGCAAGAGAGAATGAAAAACATATTCCCAATTTGGTAGGGGTGAATGAGCAGATGAGTATTTAAAGACAGGGAAGTCTTTTTCTCCAAAAAGGAATTATTATGGATTTCCATTCCCAGAAAATCTTTACAAGAGGGAGACTAGTTTCATTCAAGACATCAAAGAGATGAGAGTTCAATTACCACCAAAATATATTTTGCATATATAATTTTATGTAAGCAACTGATAAAATATCTAGAACAGAAACTATAGAGACATCCTAAAAAAACAAAGGTATGAGAAAGATTGGGTGCTCACAACATGGAAACAGGTTCTGTAATGGTCAAAATCAGATTCATGTCACGAGACAGAGAGCAAGCAATACAGCATTGAGAAAGCATGCAGAGTATTTTCTGTGGCAGCTTTGCTAATCTGAATAGAAAATAAATATACCTCGGTTGTTATACTGGTGCATGTCATTGTACTATCTGCAGAGAGGCTGGCTACAGTTTTAGACATATATTGACTGAATGAGCCCCAACAGGACCTTGAAATTGTGAGCCTGCTACAAGGAGTAGCAATAACAAAAGCAATCAGACAAACGTTTAAATCATGGCTGTTCTGGAGACAATCTGACTTTCTTTACTAGTATCATATGAAACAGGAAGTTAAGGCCAGTTTTTAATAATCAAAATGTCATCCTGTACCAAGTCAAATGCCTTACAGATTTCTAAGTATATTACATCAACACTATTACCTTTATCAACCAAACTTGTAATCTATTCAAAAATATATATCAAGTTAGTTTGACAGGATCTACTTTCCATAAACCCATGTTGATTGTCATTAATTTTATCGCCCTCCTTTAATTCTTTATTAATCATGTCCTGTATCAGACACTATATTATCTTGCCTAGGGTTAACCTCAGAAGGTTATAAGCCTATAATTAAAAGAGTCATCCTTCTTAGCCTTTTAAAATATCACCACTACATTAGCTTTCTTCCAGTCTTCTGGAACTTCCCCAGTGATCCAAGACTTGCAGAAAATCAAGATTAGCAGTCCAGTGAGCTCCTCAGCCAGCTCCTTTAAAACTCTTGGATGCAAGTTATCTGGATTTGCTGATTTTAAAATGTCTAACTTCAGTAGCTGCTGTTTAACAACGTTTCAGGATACTAGCAGAATACAAAGAGTGTTGCCATCATCATATTATATGATTACATCATCTGTTTTTCCCAAATACAGAACAAATATTTACTGAACATGTGACATTCTATACCTTGGGGGAGCGTCCTGTAACCCCCATATTCCTCATTTGTATATAATTATGATATTGTATATAAAGCAGGCCATGTGAGGTATCAGGGGAAAGGTTATGATCTGCTGAAAGTCACTGTTCTATCTAAACATGTATATAATTAATGCATATGAAGTTATGAGAATTGTGTTGTATGGCTGTCACTAAAATATGCTGTGAGTTTGGAAAGCACCCAGATACTAGTTCTCCAGAGACTATGCCAAGGAAAGTAACCAACACCCGGGCGGGTGTCAAACAACCAACAAACAGCCATTGTCCAGAAAGGGAACTACAACTCAATGACTCACCTGCATAAGGTCACACCAGAGGAATTGCTCAACCTTGCCTGGGGACTCAGCAACACCCACCAGATATGCCTGGACTTGTGTTCTCCAGGCACATGGACTGAGGGTATAAAACAGAACACAGAGGCCCCATGCTTGGCCTCTTCTCCATTCCCCACCTATGCTACAAGCAACAAGGACACTCTGAAGACTCCAACAGAAGGGACTGGCCCAGGTTTCAAGGGCGAAAGCTGTGTACTATGAACTGCAATATCCAGTGGGATGAGAAAAATTGCTTAATCTAGATGTTGCCCAATCTAATAGGGTTGAGAGTTTAGACTGCACGTTCATATTTTATTTTATTTTGGTAACCACTCTGACTTTTTGCCTATCACTTATAATCACTTAAAATCTATCTTTTGTAGCCAGTAAATTTGTTTTACTGTTTATCTCTACCAGTGAGTTTGCCTGAAGTGTGTGGTAAATCTGCTCAGGTTTGCAAAGGCCAGTGTATATCCACTTGCCATTGATGAAGTGGTGAACCAATTAATAAATTTGATGAGCGGTGCAAGATGGTATATTCCTGAGATACAGTGCTGGGAGCTGGGGGGATCTGGCTGGTACCTTTCTTTGTGTGATTCATGAGTGGCTCTGGGTGTGGGGCAATCTAGCTGGGTGTGGGGCTCCACATACTGTTATGCGGAGTGATAACCTGGAGAGGTTTGCTGCTTATCACTAGCAAAGCATTGTGAGAGACAGCCCAGGCTGGAGAGTTAAGGGAGCACAGCGGTCCCACAGTCTGAGGCTGCACCCCGGGGATCCCATCACAAAACACTTCTATCTTTTTTGTATTATTATTATTCCTAATTCTACCATTTCCATTTAGTTGTGGACTAATGCCATTACTGGCATTTTTTTCCTCCTTGTACATTTTTTCCTTATTTTCCTGAACTCTGCTGGCCACAGATGTTGCCATATGTCTCTTTGGCTCCCTTATCAATTTTCTACAATCCTAGCTTCTGATTTATATTCATTACTATCAACTTCCCCTTTTTCGATATAGCTGCCTTCACTTCTGCTCTAAACCAGTTCAATATTTTTTAACTAGTACTATGAGTAGAGTAGGGTGGGTAGCAGCATGGAAGATTAAATGAAATTCCCACCTGTTTGTAGTCAAAGCATTAATAAAGGTATACATGGCATCTCCATCTTTTGCACGAATAATGGCTTCCAAATTTTCTTCAAGGACTTTTTTATTGTTTTGTACGCCTCTTAAAATCCTTTCAGCATCCTTCAACATGGATTTTGGTGCTTTAACTGTCTGAAGAATAGATGGCTTGGACACCTGAGGACATTCAGCAAGACTAGGTGCAACAACAGGGTTTGTCGGCTAAAATTTAAGAAAAACAATTATTATTTTAACATACTAAATCATTTTTCTAAACAGAGTACATTAATTTGATCTACTGTTGATCTATCATTAATTCTAAGGCCCAATCTAATAAGGTGGAGAGCAACTGCCATTGACTTTAAACCTAAACTAAAGAGAGATCAGTGTCTTGCAAAGTTAGGGCCAATAGTTAAACAAATGGAAGGCAATCTGAAACTTGTCAAACATTAAAGTATAATATACCATGTCTGAGGCACAATGCTGATAAAATATGAAAGCAATATAGCATGTGAAAAAGATGAAACCATTAAATGTAAGGAGTAGAAATCACATGTTAATTTCTCTGTACAATGACATTAAAGCATAATTCATTCTAAAAGAATAAGAATTAAATTCTGCCCCCTGATAAAGGCACATAACTCCCACTGAAATCAATCTGCTAATAAGGAACACCAGGTAACATAGCACTACGTGACTCAGTAGCACCATATGCCATTGAAGTTTACTTCTTTATAAGAAATACTGAAAAATCTATTAAAAGCCATTTAGTTTGCAAAACATTTCACCAAGTTGAAAACAAAATTAGTAATTAAACCACTAAGTATGAACATAAAGGACACCAATGCACAAGAACACAGAGATTGGAACAACGATTGGGCCTCATACTCTTGTCTGGAAGTACACAAAAGATGACATCTGATCTCCAATAAAAGAAGTGGGGAAGAGATGCAGGCAGATAACAATGCTCTTCTGGACATGCTAATGACCAGCTAAAGTGACCCCGAGCCACTTCTTAGGCCATGTCTACATTAGAAACTTATGTTGACTCAAGTTATGTCAGCATCCAGTTGCGGCAGTTAGTACATCACTTGTGCACCTGCATACTTGGCTCCTTGTGTCAGTGGTGCACATACTACTCCTGGGAGAATTCTGTGCCAAAAAATTTAAAAATTCTGCACACAATATTTGAAAATTCTGCAAATTTTATTTTTCAAAATAACACAATATAATCATGTCAGTTTCAATTATTTTGGTAATTTATTTCAAAGAATCTGTCAGCATGTATGTCTGTAACAATACAGACCAAAAAAAAAGGATTCTGGTAATTTTTTTTTTTGACAAAGAGATTCCTTACTAGGCATATTAATACAGAACGTTGTGTAATTCATTTAAATTACAATACAGAACTGTATTTCCTGCACCTGTCAGAAGCAGTGCAAAGGCTTGGTGAAGTCAGGGATAATAGAGGAGCTGAGGGAGAGGGAAGGAGCCTAGGAGTGAACCTTTTTGGTGTTGGATGTGGGTGGGGGTTTTCTTGGGGAGGAGGATTGTTAGGGTGTTGGGAAGCCTCCCCCATGCAGACCCTGGCTGATCCCAAGCCTCTCCCATTCAGTCAGGCATGTCTGCCCCTGTCCCCATGGGTCTCTGCAGCCCCCCCCCCCCCGTCCCCAGGCTCAAGGCCATCACCCCACTAGCTCCTGAGCCCATGCTCCAGTTTGTCCCCCCCACTAGCAGGGGCGGCTCTATGTTTTTTGCCGTCCCAACCACGGCAGGCAGACAGCTTTCGGCAGCGCACCTGCAGGCGGTCCGCTGGTCACGCGGATTCGGCGGCATGCCTGCCGCCCTCACAAATTATCTATCACCTTCATGTACATTTGAATTTAAGAACAAAAGCCAAGGTTAAAATATGTGCTCAATAAAACATCTGAAATTAGTGATAAAGGTGCAACATCAAGAATTTAGCTGTGGTGTATTTATATACACACACAGAGCACAAAACAGTTATCACATTAGCAGTCCACCTGATATAGAGTTAGGGGGGCAGCATTTATAGTCTGTTTTCCCAAGTATATTTCACTAAAACAGGATATCAAAAGTCACAGAACTACTCAAACCCTTCTCTGGGCTATTCGCTGAGAATGTAACAGACAACTTTTGAAAAAGATTAAGATAAAGGAAGCAACAAAGTTTCTATAAATTAAATTTAAAAAATCCCACTATACCTTAACAAAATCATTCATGTCTGATTTCCATGCTTTTGCTTCCTGGGCGGGGGGGGAAAAAAAGACAGAAAAAGGTTCTTTGAAACTTCAACAATAAGTATCTATCAGAATTAAATTCAGTATTTAGAAGTTAGGTGAATAAAAAGTCTAGGTAAAATATCTTGTATGATGTCTCAGCATGCTTCTCTCGGACAAGAGGAGCATCCTCAAGCACAACCCCATTTCCTTCATTTCACCTATCTGTCTATGGCACTTATGAGGCCCCCATTACCAGAGTATCTGAGCACCTCACAATATTTAATGTCTTTATCCTCACAACACTCCCATTAGCTAGAGAAGAGCTATTTATTCCCATTTTACAGATGGGGAACTAAGGCACGGAGAGGCAAGGTGACTTTCCCAAGGACAGCCAGTCTGTGGCAAAGCAGAGGATTGAACCTGGGTCTCCCAAGTCCTAGGGTTGTGCTCTAACTACTGGACCATGCTTCCTTGTCTCAGACTTTCTATTTGTCTACATTTTCTAAGCTGGAATCATGTTTGAGCCCAAACTCTTCTTTTCCTCTTACATCTTCTGTGTCTGCAAACTACCACTGGCTTCTCAACACTGCCTACGTACCCACCCTCCGCCCCCTCTACCTCAACTCCACCTCTGCTAAAATTCTCATCTGTCTTCCAGCTGACTTTTCTTCCTAAACTGTTACGCTGATTTGCTACAAACACTACACAGGGGAAGCCTGAAGGGTATCTGTGTTTGTCTTTGCTTATACCACTAATTAAACAGAGGAGATTCTTTCACCCCTTGCCCTTGTTTAACCTGCCATCCCTTTCTCCTCTTCTGTCCTTTTAAGGCAAGTGCTCCAATATTTCCAAAGTACTGCCAGAGGAGAGCTAGTCTACTCTATTCCACAGATAATGCGGTCACTGTTAGGTCAGACCTGCTGATACTGACGTAGCTCCAAAGCAGTAGCACTATAGATATAGCACTAGATATTTTTTCATTTAAGACATCTTAGCTCTGTAGTACCACATTGTTCTGCATTGTTTCATCTAGGTTTCATAAATAAAATATGAAATACACATAAATCGCTAAAGCTTCTTCATTTTTAAAAGCCAGCGACTAACCTTCACTGCTGCCAGCAGAGACCCACTTCAGCAAAAGGGACTAGCTCAGCAGAAGAACAAACATGCAAGTAACGGCGCCCCAAGTTGCACTTTGGACATTGGGCTATTTTATCATAAGGAACAGCTGACAAGGTAGGAAAAGGACTGGTTTAAATCACCCCCTCCCCCATTTAATAAATGCAATAAGCCAAAGACTTTTCTCTCTGAAACGTGAATGGCTCAATCAGGTCTGCAGTTAGAATACTGGGGGAGAGAAGAGAGGATGGCAGAAAGCAGCATTTAAAAATCGAAACATTTAAAAAACTTTGAAGAAAAAGTTCTTTACTAATACTATTACTGTATAGACTGGATTTTTAAAGTTACTGCTTTGGTAAAGTAACATAGTGGCTTTATAATCCAGATACAAATGTATGCTTATTGGGAGATAATTATATCCCAGACCCAGAACCCTTTTCAGACAAGCAGATTACAACTTTCAGCCAAGTCATTCTGTAAACATAATTCTGTTTGGAGGAAGCAAGGGCAATCTTTGTTGGTACCAGATATCATAATTCTGCTTACATTTGCTTATTTTTCTTTTTGAAATGGTTAGTCATTCCAACAATATGGTCACCCACTTTACCTGGAGCATGCCATGCATTTCTCTTTTCAGCTGGCCAAGATCTTGAAGCACATCTTCTGCTTTCTTCACTGTTTTATTAATTGAATTGTAATCTTGGAGGGGGCCTTCAAAGGCAGGGATTGAGTCAGTTCGCAGGGCAGGAGGCCTGCTGAGAAGATTACATATTACTAAAATCTCACAGCTTCTTGACTGACTTTAGAAACAACTAGCTTCTAATTTGAGAATTTTAACATGGATTTGAACTTTGCACAAGTATCAAACCTTTACACAGAAAGGAAATTGCTTCTTCTCACAGAGGCCTTGGCCAATTATATTGCTTCCTTTGTTTAATAGTTACAGTATTTACACTATTAGGAACGAGATAGAAAAATAACAGTGATTAATTAATTTCCAATGTGAAAAGTTTCTCAATTTTCCAATGTTACTTCAATTATTTCAATCTGAATTTAAGGTATAATTTCACTGTTAATTAAATGAGAATATGGTGCAAAGTGCTTTCCCCTCCCCCCCAGATTACATGTTCAAGCCATCCGTGTAATATATAAAAATGTAGTGAAATCATGACAACAAAAGCGTAATCTGGAAGAGGGTTCTTCAGACAGGAAGGATAAAATTTCCTGACCTGTTCTGAGGCTTAGAAACTGACTGCACTAATAGTTACATTTTCCTTCTAGATGAAGTTTTAAAGAATATCCATACATTATTTTTAAGACAGTATATGAACCAGATAGCAGTTTCTGATAAAACACCTTAATGCAAAGTGGCCAAAAACTACCCTAACTGGAAAATGGAGAATTCCATTGGCATGGGGAACCCCCTATTGGAACACTGCCAATGTAACTGGCTCTAAGCCACTACATTCCAGCCCTCTACAACCCAGGGAATATACCCAGAAGAAGGGAGATCATGCACAGTGCTGTTGTGCTCCAGTGAGCCCTTTCAGCCCTTTGGGAGACTGGTTACCAGCCATCATTACTTACAGTTGTCCTAAAGTTTCTTATGCTGTTGTAAAAACAAGCCCTTAGCAGCCCTGGAGATCATGGAAGCACAATGGTAGTATAAAGCCACCTTTGCTTCCCCTTTTTGGGTCCTGCCCCAAGCACATCTTGGTCAGACCCAAGGCCCAGACCCAATCTCTCTAATGCAGTGGTTCTCAATCCGTGGCCCAATCAGCACACAGTTGTGGCCCATGTGACATCCTCAGGGCCATACAGGTAGATGTGGCCCACATAACACATAAAGAGCCGCATATGCAGCCCACAATGGTAAATAGGTTGAGAACCACTGCTCTAGTGCATCTCCTACCTAAAACAGTGGTTCTCAACCTTTCCAGACTACTGTACCCTTTTCAGGAGTGTGATTTGTCTTGTGTATCCCAAGTTTCACCTCACTGAAAAACTACTTGCTTACAAAATCAGACATAAAAATACAAGTGTCACAGCACATTATGACTGAAAAATTGCTGACTTTCTCATTTTTACCATATAATTATAAAATAAAATCAATATAGATTATAAATATTGTATTTACGTTTCAGTGTGATATTTCAGCTTGTTTTTCACTTATGAGCCTTGTATGAAGATGAAGCCCCACCGCCTAGGGCTGAAGCCGAAGGGCCGCCACCTGGGGCTGAAGCACGTAACTTAGCTTCACAGGGCCCCCGCTGGTGTGAGGCCCTGGGCAATTGCCTTGCTTGCCACCCCCAATGCTGGCCTTGTGCTTGCAACCCCCTACACCTGTCCTGCAACCCCCAGGTTGAGAATCATTCGTCTAGAGGAGTTGAGTATCCCCTGGAAGACCTCTGAATAACCCCAGGGGTACACATACCCCTGGTTGAGAACCACTGTCTAGCACATACCTACATCATATTAAAAATAAAAAGTCTGTATGAACTTCTGATTCAGTCACATTTACTTACCACTCTCTCTCAGAATGCCAGGCCATTTTGGTGGTGTTTAATGACGACTTCTCAGAAGACTCAGTTTGTCTCAATGGAGTTTCTTGAGAATTCAAAATCTGCTCCAGAAGTCTCCCTCCACCTACAATAGGAAAAACATAAACAACATTATTAGTAAACATATTTAATACATTTAAGTGGCTTATTTTCATTTCAAGAAATAAATATTTCATTCATTTAAAAAAATAACCACTATAAAATATTTAACTAGATTTACGAGAATATTGCAATGGAAACTATTTATCAATTTTGTTTTAAAAAAAATCAAAGAATCCTAGAAATATAGCACTGGAAAGAACCTCAAGAGGTTATCTAGTCCAGACCCAACCTCCGCCGCCCCCCATGATGAGGCAGAGCCAAGTATACCTAGACCATCCCTGACAGGTGTTTGCCCAAACTGTTTTTCAAAACCTCCAATTATAAGAATTCTACAACATTCTGTGGTAACCTATTCTAGTACACCTCTACCCCGATATAACGCGACCCGATATAACACGAATTCAGCTATAATGCGGTAAAGCAGCGCTCCGGGTGGGTGGGGCTGCGCGCTCCAGCGGATCAAAGCAAGTTTGATATAACGCGGTTTCACCTATAACGCAGGAAGATTTTTTGGCTCCCGAAGACAGCGTTATATCGGGGTAGAGGTGTATTTAACAATCCTTACAGCTAGAAGGTTTTTTCTAATATCTAAGCTAAACCACATTTCCTGCACATTAAGTCCATTACTTCTTGTTCTACCTTCAGTAGACATGGAGAACAACAACTTACGATCCTCTTTATAACAGCCCTTGACATATTTGAAGACTGTTATCAGGTCCCCAGTCAGTCTTCTTTTCTCAAGACTAAACATGCCCAGTTTTTTTAACCTTTCCTTACAGGTCAGGTTTTCTAAACCTTTTATCATTTTTGTTGCTCTCCTCCGGACTCCCGCCAATTTGTCCACATTGTTCCCAAATAGTGGCAACCAGAATTGGACACAGTACTACAGCTAAGGCCTCACCAGCGTCAAGTAAGATGGAACAATTTCTTCCTGTGAGGACACTCCTGTTAATATACACCCCAGAATAGTGGTCTTTTTCACAACTGCATCATGCTGTTGGCTCATATTCAAATTCTGATCCTCTATAACCCTATATCCTTTTCAGCAATACCATTGCCTAGCTAATTATTCTTCATTTTATGATTGAGCATTTGATTTTTAAATTCCTAACTTTAGTACTTTCCACTTGTCTTTACTGAGTTAATCTTATTGATTTCAGCCCAATTCTCCAATTTAACAATGTCCTTTTGAATTCTAATCCTGTCCTCCAAAGTGCTTGCAACACCTCCCAGCTTGGTGTCACCCACCAATTTTATAAGTGTACTCTCCATTTCATTATTTAAAGTCATTAATGAAATTATTGAATAGTACCGGCGCTAAGGACAGATGCTGGGGGGGGATCCTACTAGTTACGTTCTCCCAGTTTGACAGTGAACCAAACTACTCTTTCAGTATGGTTTTTCAACCAGTTGGACCTGCACCTTATAGTAATTTCATCTAGAACCCATTTCCCCCGTTTGCTTATGAGAATGTTATGTGGGACTGTGTCAAAAGCCTCGCTAAAATCAGAATATATTATGTCTAGTACTTATCCCCATCCATTAGGTCAGTAACCCTGTCAAAGAAGGAAATTAGGTTGGTTTGGCATGATTTATTGTTGACAAATCCTTGTTGGCTATTACTTATCATCCTATTATCCTCTAGATACTCCCAAATTGATTGCTTAATCATTTGTTACAGTATCTTTCTGGGTATTAAAGTTATACTGACTGATCTCTTATTCCCTGGGTCCTCTTTGTTCCCCCCTTTTTAAATATAGGTACTATATTTGCCTGTCTCCAGTCCTCTGGGACATCACCCTTCCTCCGTGAATCCACAAAGATAATCACTAATGCACTTTTACAGCACCAAACAACATGCTATGCCTAAAAAACATTCAGGTAAACATGTTATTTTATTTATGATTCCTATGCAACAATGAGATGAGAGGAATAACAAACAGGAACACCCTAACATTGGAAACCATACAACACATGGCAAAGGAAACAAACTGTTTTCACAAGACCAGTGAATCAGTGTATTTTATTTAATATGGGTATATTTGGAGATGGGGCCCTCAGGCCAGGTCTATACTACAAAGTTTTGCTGGCATAGCTATATCAGTTACGAGTGTTAAATAAATAAATGAAAATCAACCCCCTAAATGACAAACATGATGGCATAAACAAACACAACTTATACTGGCAAGAGTCATTTTCCTAGTATAGCGATTTCAGCAAAGCCTTTGTAGTGTAAACTAACCTTCAGAATGACTCCAGACCCTAAAACTTGAGAATCGTATAAGTCTAAACAGTAAGACAACCACCAACACTGCCACTGCCACAACAACCACACTCAGAGAAACATTTTGTCTTGGACCATTTGGGGACTTTTTGATTCCATCTTATAGTGGGTGGCTTTTTACTGATGTGGGTTACTTTTTGATGCTCCCCAGAAGTGATCTGAGAGACTTGAAGAGAAAGATAGATGCCTAGCACACCAGGATAGGGAATGGAAAAAATGCAGAAAGGAAGAGGGGAAGTGGAATTAACTGATGGAGCACTGAGCCATATAAGGAAATAGTAAACAATGCGAATAGAGATGTAGTCAGGGATGAATGATGAGAAGATTCATTCTGATACAGAAGGTAAGAAGCCAGGAAAAGGATTCAAAGATGGAGTGACATGGTCCAAGCAGATGGCCTGGCAAGGCAAGAAAGATTATTTCAGCCAGGGCCATTCTGTACGGACTGGAGAGAAGCAAGAGGAAAATCTGGGAGGCCAGAGGGGAGGTTTCAGTAGTCTAAGCAGGAAGTAACCAAGTGACAGACCAAGCATTTTGTCCACAGGGTAAGAGTGCAAGGGCTGGATTTTTTAAGGTGTCCTCAAAAGGTCACTCAAACTTAACCAGGTCTTTGTGCTTTATAAATATGGTGCTGAAAACTGAATTCTGGGCTGCCAAGCCAGTATCAGGTAGGGCTGTTAAACACCTCCTTTGGTCAACATACTCTGTTTTTATTAATGTAATCCAGTATACCATCTGCCTTTTTGTGACAGTGTTCAATTTATCTACCATTGTAACTCTTCTGACCTAGCCAGTACTCCCCTATTCAATATCCGTGGGTATGATACTGCATTCCTACACAAACCACCTTACACTTGACTTTACTGCATTTTATTTAAGCTCATTCTACCACTGTAATGAAGGCTGAACTGCACTTTAATCCTATCCTCTCAAGTGTCTGAAAGACCTTTAAGGTGTGCATCATGCATGTTCCGGGCTCCCTTCAACACTCCTTACTCAGACATCACAAGTTTTGCCTGAGTAAGGAGTAACGTACAGGGCCATTAAATACCACACTCACCACTTCATCCTTCAAGTGACATGAAAATATTAAATATTATTGGACACAGAATAGACCCCACTCAACACCTGCCTCCAACTTGACAACAACCCTTCATTAGTTACTTAATGTTAGGGTCAAAGTGCAATGGCAAGACGGTGGAGAAGCTCATCCAGACTGTTCATTAACAGTACTGCCTTGAATTCCGGGAGTCGTTCATTTACTGCCAGCACTAACCCTTCACCAAACACATTTTTAGAAATGTTGAATGTGTATGCCTAGATTCAGGTAATCCAATAAGAACTGTCTTCAGAGAACGTGAAGATGATGCAGGCAATAATAGCCACTGGCCATGCCCATATCAGTGAAGGGACAAAGGAAGGCTATTTCTGAACTTTCCTCTGACTCTTACCCACAACACTTCCATATGCTGATTTGGGCACATTTTCCTTTTCTGCGATAGGTCTCTCTTTCTTGGAAATTTTCTGTGAGATTTTCACATCTTTTGATACAGGTACAGGAGCATATCTCCGAGGAGCTGGTGTCCTCAGAGGGGATTTCTGTGTACGAACGCCATACTTTCCAAATTGACTTGGATACGCTTAAATTCAGAAAAAAAAATAATGAACAATTTTTCTTTAAATCCGAAGTTAAGAGATTTTGAAAAGGAAAACAAACTCTTCAAAAGCAAACAGAAGTTTAAAAAGTCCCCACAGAAATATAAAACATTTCCATTAACAAGGCAAGAATTTTAAAAACAAGTAGTAACTTTGGTATTGAGGAAAGTAAGTGGAATGTGTCTACACTGGAGCTGGAAGGTGTTGTTCCCAGCTTGGGTAGACATACCACACTAGCTCTGATCCAGCTGGCATGCTAAAAATAGAAGTGTACCTGCTGTGGCATGAGCAGCAGCAGGGGCTAAGCACCTAAGTCCGTACCTAAGGTTCGGGTAGGATCTTACTCGGGGCGGCTAGCCCCTCCCTGAGCTCACGCTGCCACAGCTACACTTGTATTTTAAACACGCTAGCTCAACCAGAGCCAGCGCAGGTATGTCTACCCAAGCTGGAAATTACACCTTCCAGCCTCCGTGTGACACACAGTACCTCAAAATAACCCCCTGTAACCACCTTATTTACCACTTTTCTATGGTTATATATTTTGTACAAAGTATGCCTTGTGAGGTATCATTTGAAAACTCATGAGCTACTGAACATTATCATCATTAGCATGTGTGTATCATCATTGTATATGGAGTTATGAGATTTTGCTATGATTACTTTGTTACTCAACATTTTGGGAGTCTGGGAAATGCCCACAGACCAGCTCCTCAGAAATAATAAAGGCCTTGCATATCATCCCAAATGTCATGTACACAGAAGGTGCGAGCAAGAAATTTACAATTCATCTGAGACACGCTTTGAATCGCACATACACAGGAGACCTCTCTGTCTATACCCCAGCGGGGGTGGGGGTTGTTCCTCAAGGAGAGGAGGAGGGTATAAAATAAGAGACAATGGCTTCTGCATTACCTCTCTCCTTCCCCACCTCCAGTGAAGTAAGATTGCTTGAAAGACTTTGAACTGGGGAGATTGGTCCCCGCTGGGGAGGGTATCCAGCCTGTGTACTAAGAACTGTGAACTGCCGGCAACATTCAGAGGGTTGAGAAAAGCTGTTTGCTTCAAATTTTACTTAACTTGGTAAAGCTTAGGAATTATATTGCGATTTTATTTCTTTTTGTAACCAATTCTGACCTTTTATGCCTGTATCACTTATAATCACTTAAAATCTTTCTTTCTATAGTTAATTAACTTGTTTTTATATTTTATCTAAACCAGTCTACTCTGACTGAAGTTTTTGGGGAATCTCTGCACGGGTTAATAAGGGCTGGTGAATATTCATTTTCTTTGATAAAATGATGGACTTATGAGCTTGCTCTGTCCAAGGCAGTCTTGAGCAGTGTAAGACGCACATTTCTGGGGTGCAAGGCTCGGGGAATTTGCATGTGTCTCCCTGTTTACAGTTCATGAGTGGGTAGGAGAACATTCATGTAACTTAGCTGGGTGTGCCTTACATGCTGATGGCTGTGTGAAAGCAAAGCCTGGAGGGGCTACTTTTCACTAGCATAGCAGTGTAAGAGAAGACCTCGGCTGAAGAGTTAAGGGAGCACAGTGATTCCACAGTCCAGATTGGGTACCCTGGGAGATGTCACAACCAGTGTAGACACACCCTAACAAGAGTCCAGGGCAAGATACAGCATGGTCAGGCAGTGTACAAGTTTCCACATTCACTTTCTTTTATAAAACAGTCTTGGGCCTCTCAAATACAATCAGCTGGGTGAGCATAAGTATCCACTAAATACCAAAATCTCACTTTAATTTGATATAAATGTGGTTTTCAGTTTATGTAGTATGCACTGTATTAATGAAGATAAAATCAGTTCTGCAAAAATATTTCTTATTCCTTAGTAATATGTGGTCCTAAATTTATGAAAGCAAGATTAAGACAGAAATAAAACTGAGTATCTAAATTAACTGAATTATTCACCTTGGGTGGGCACAGCATTGGTAGAGAATAAATTCCTATGACATGAAGAGACTTGGCTGGTAAGTGGCTGCTGTCGTTCTGGGTTTGTAGAATGCTTTGCCACCAAATTGGAAGATGGTATGTTAACTGGTTGGAAACAACCTGTGTTGATTGCAGAGCTAATGAGATGAGACTAAGAGACAAAAGGTACAAAGTTAATTAAAAAAAAAAAAAGGAATTATAGCTATTTAACAAATAATCTGAACAAGCAAATATGTAATATATTTATACTAATTGGGATCTGGGGGGAAAAATGATAGGCAGCAGGCTAAGAAAACTAATACTTGCTCACTGTTTTGAAAGGTAGAACAAAACAAAACTGACACATAGGAATCTCTCCCCCCTCCAAAAAAGGGGGGAAATAAGCATTCCCATTCTGGCTAGTTCCCAAAAACACAGACATTAGGATAAGAGGGATTTTTTTTCCAAATTCTTAGGGTATGTCTTCATGTGATTGCAGCTCAGGTAGACATACCCAATTTAGCTTTAATCTAGCTAGCCCAGGTAGTGGAGCAGTGAAGCTATGGCAGCACACGCTTCAGTGCAGGCTGTTCAAACCCATCCAGAACTGTGGGTAATCACTCCCGGGGCTAGTCTTCACTGAAATGCACACTGATGCAGATCCACTGCAGATTAAAACTAGCTCAGGTACGTCTACCTACGCTACAATCACATACACACTTGCCTGACAGCACTGTTATTAAGTTGAAAGCTTCCCAAACAATCTAAGGTACTTGTTTCCATGACAGTGGTATCCAATGGCCTCAAAATCTAATGTATTTATCTTCACAACACCCCTATGAGGTAGGGAAGTGTTGTTATCCTCATTTTACAGATGAAGAACTAAAACAGAGAAGCCAAGTGACTTGCTCAAGGTCAAACAGGAAGTCTGTGGCAGATCAGGAATTTGAACCCTATTCTCCAGGTCTTGGCTAACCCACTAACCTCCCTAACCACTGGATCATCCTCCCTCTCTGGAACTAGGTCATAAAACCTCTCTGTCCTATACCACACATTCTCCTCTGCAATTTTAACTGCTTAGAAGGTAAGAAGCCACCAAACAAATCCTCCTGGCATAGACATATGGGCACAATAAGAATCTCATACATGTGAAAGTACTGTTGCAGCTTTACTCAATTAAAGAAATTTAACAACAAACTTCAGTATAACTAACACCAAGACACAGAGGCAGAGAAACAGCAAGAAGCTCTATGTTTCTATGCAGGTACCTGAACATGTATTTGTTGCTGTTGTAACTTTTCAAGATGCTGAATCCGCTGTTCCATGAACACATGCATCTGTTTTTCAAGCTCGTTGACTCTGTCATGACAACGGGATCTCTCCTGCTGTTGAGTCTTTATATTTGTTTGCTGTTCTGCAACGCGTTGCAGCTGCTTGTCAGTCTCCTGCAGTTTATTGAGCAATGCTGAAACAGAGCTAACTTTTGCTTCCAAATCGCTTTGAACCTGAGGAAAAAAATTAGACTCTATAGCTCAGGTACAGTTCAAAGAGAAGTCTAGTTATACATTTTTAAAAACTCTTGAGTTTGAAACCTGAGGCAAGAGGAAGCAGGTATTAATGCCATTCCAATTTGTTCTCAATATCCCTCCCCCACCATCACATCACACTCTTTTTGGCATCTATATTTTCTTCAAAAGATTCAAATAATAATAGTCCTGATTTGGGATGATTTAATAACACAAGAGAACCTTGCCAAAGATAAATACAGCATTAAAAATGTAGTGTTCATTAGAGCCAAGTCACCCTTTACCCAAATAAAATGAACAAAAACATCCCTTAAAACAGGCAGTACCAATATTATCAGATTGCTGCAGACTCTCTTCTATGTTAAACCAATCTTTACGGTAACTCTCATTGGCAGCCCCCCCCCCCCCCCCCCCAAACAATAGCATATAATTATCGCTCTGAGAAAACTGGGTTGTTTTTTTTTAAATGCATAGCAGTGTCATGGGTGTTTAAATTTAACGGGATATACATGGCTGCCAAGTCTTTTTCCCCCTCCCCTCCGAATGCTGCCATTTTCCCAAGAGCAGGGAGGCAGAAGCAGGCATTCTCACTTCCACCTCCCTGCCAAGACCACACCTACTCACAGGGTTACTGGGGGGTGGGGTGGGGGTTGTCTCATCATCCGGTGCAGTCCGTCCAGCCCAGCCCAGCCTAGGACAGGGACTGGGGTTGACGCGTCCCACACTCAGCTCCGGACCAAGGCTGCTGCACGGTTGCTTCCTGTCCAACTCGCAGGGAGAGGGGGCGGGACAGACAACGCATGGCTATTAGGAGCTCTGACCCACCCCACAGCAGTGCCCAACAGGCAAAGGAGCTGAGACCAGGATCTGCTGCTTGGAACACGAGCAGAGATGAGAGAGGGCCCTGCCTGGCGGGGGGATCCGTGTGAGACTCTAATCCGTCCCTGTTCAATCCTGCTGCTCAATATAATTCTCATAGCTGCTGATGCCCTCTACATAGACCACTGCTTCTGGTGCAAGGCCACAAGCACAGACTGGTGGGACCACAACATCATGCAGGCTTGGGATGACCAGCAGTGGGTCCAGAACTTTTGCATGAAGAAAGCAACATTTCTGGAGCTTTGTAAGCAACTTGCCCACATCCTCCAGTATAGAGAGACACATGTGAGGTCACTCTTGGCAGTTCAAAAGCAGGCTGCTATAGCTGTCTGGAAGCTGGCTACTCCAGACTGCTAGAGGTCCATTGGCAAACAGTTTGGGGTTGGAAAGTCGACTGTGGGTAAAGTGGTGGGAGAGGTAACTGAGGCAAACAGGCATGTGGTTTACCCCAAAGTGGTTGACATTAAAGATATTCCAAAGGTAACTGCTGACTTTGAGAGAACGGGGTTTCCTGACTGTGGCGGGGCTATTGATGGCATTCAGGTGCCCATAATTTGCCCTCCTCAAGGAGCACATGAGCACATAAACCACAAAGAGTACTACTCCATTGTTATGCAGGCACTCGTGGACCACAAAGGCAGATTTATGAATGTCCACTTGGGCTGTACAGGAAAAGTTCACGATGCCAGTTTTTCGCCGCTCAGGAGTCTACATTCATAGACAAGCTGGGACACTATTACCACCAAATGACACTGAATTAAATGGTGTTACTGTCCCCATTGTTATTCTGGGGGACCCTGCGTATCCTCTTTTGCCTTGGCTTCTGAAACCATACCCTGATTTCAGAGGCCCTGGCAAAAAAGAGATTTAATTACACTCTCAGCCGGTGTAGAATGGTTGTTGGCAGATAGTAAGGCCTAATGAGACAGAATTATTTCAGGGGCAGATAAAGATTTGCAAAGTCAACAGACACCTGATTCCCCAGAGGCCAGGGATATATAAATCAGAAGTAAGAAAACCAGGTAATTATCTGTTAGTCTTAAAGGTGCCACAGGACCCTCTGTTGCTTTTTACAGGTAAGTATCTATGTGCTTATATGACCCTCCATCACCACCATATCTAAGCACCTCAAACATTACTGATTTTAGTACTATGCGGGGGTTTACAGACCCCTCTCTAAGACTGGAACTGGACCAAGAAGGCCCTGCCCCTCAGCAACTGCAGAGCATGCTCCAAATGGAGGACCTGCTTACAATGGGATGGTGGCAATCAAGTGGGGAGAGAGAGTGAAGGAAGGAAGGCAGCCTGTTAGTACCTTCTGGAACAGGGGAATCCACAGAGGAAAGACCTAGACTGTGGGTAAGGCCTAAACCAGGCAGCGAGGGGCCTGACCCCTTTTTCTCTCCCCTTCTGCTTGACAAGGCTAAAATCACAGGACACTGAAAAGGGAGAACTGGGAACCTCTGACAAACTATCTGAATTGCTGAGACTGTTTGAACAACCCTCTGTGAGGAATGAAGCAGAGGGCTGTGGCCATGCCCCAAACTGAAGAGAACACCGGGCGATGGGTATGAAGTGGCCCAGGGTAGGCTGGTCTGGGTATCAGCTAGAGGGGACAGAAACAATCCCCACTCCTTCCCACTTAGGCCCTGGGTTGAGAGTCAGTGCAAAGGGTGGGCCCGGGTTTCCCTACCCTTTCCTCTACCCTAGACTGATCGGGGCAACCCAGAGGAGGACAGACTGACTTGGTTGACAGGGCTTCATATTGCCTGATAAACCGCCCCCTCCCTCCGCCACAGGACTCTAGAGACTGAGTCATGGCCTGCCTACTAGGTCTGCTGGCCCTTAAGTGAACCCTACTACAGGTACTATCCCTATTTTCACAGATAAGGAACTGAGGCACAGAGAAATTTAGTAACTTGCCCAAGAGCACACAGGAAGCCTGTGGCAGAGGTGGGAATTCATCCTACATCTCCTGAGTCCCAATCCAGTACCTTAACCCCAAGATCATCTCGCTTCTCTCCCATGCTATCTAGAGCATACCTGTGTGCGAACCGTGACCTTCAGAAAACTGCTATACACGTTATGTTGACTGCATAGTGTAGGTTTTTAAATGAGCAGTAAGAAGACTGATCAGTGTCTCTTTTTGAAATACCAGATGAAAATCGCCTCTTGACTTTACAGAAATTCACCTGAATCAAACCTCATTTATCTTTTTATTCTCTAGTTAACACAAACCTGACCTCTCTTGTTTGGATTCTGCAAAATAGTTACATCTCAATAAGAAGTTAGGGGAAGTTCCTTCTTTCTGGCTTGAACATTGATAGACTGACCAACCAGGTACAGCCACATTTGAATTACAGGTGCGGTGTGTTGTCTTAAGTTTTGGCCATCCAGTTTTTATTAAGGAGATTTACACCATAGACAAAAAGTTAAAGCTACACCAAAGGGGATCTATAAACAGCAGTGTAATCTATCAAACGTGGGCTTTCTCCCATCCTATTCACTATGTACTGCACAACATCACACTATCTACTGGGACACTTCCCAGGGTACCCAGGGCTGTGAGGCACATCACTACCACCTGCCCTTACCATGAGGGAATCTTGTCTGTGTGGATCAGCCCCCTGACTCCAACAGCCTCTGGCAACACAAGCTGCCTTCCAGGCTTCCGCAAGCCTCGTGCTCTCTATACAAGTTAGCAACAGGTACACACCAACCCCTGAGTCCTCAGAGCATCCCTCTGGAGTCCCCAGCCCCTGATCCACTGAATTCTTAGATCCTCTTCTCCTGAGGGTATAGCACACATCAGCTTACAAGATCCAACTCAGGATCACTAATCTGCTTAACATACAGCACTTACATTTACAGTGAAAGCAAGAATAAGTTTATTATCAAAGAACAGAGACTCAACTGACAGTAAGAATACTGGAAACATATGGTTACATATCAAACAAAATCATAATACGCTTTCTAGAACCTCAACTTCACTCGCAAGACATTCCCCTATCTTCTACAGAATAGTTTACTCCCAAGTCCTTTCCCCAGCATTGTCAACCAGGATGTCTGAGATCCTCCTTCCATGTTTGTCTCAAGGCACGCTACCTTTATATAGAATATAAAAACAAACTTCTCACATATTTTCTGTATATACATCTCACAATGATTAAGATGACCAGAGGGACACAGACTTTCAGTAGAGATCTTACATGACCCCTTCTGGTAAACCCAGAAGATCCCTGTACCCCAATGTACCCTGTGCCTTCTGCCAATTGGCAACAAGAGGCCCTTGGGTCACACCTACAAATACACAGAAGAGACGCACCCAGTGTTTGTATCCTTTTGTCATCCCCTCCTATCGACCCAATGAGCCATGCTGTTCATCAAGATGACTGTGAGCACATATGAAGAGAATACAAATGAAAGACAGTGGGAGCTTCACTCCTAGCCACCTCAGACTTATTTATTATTTCTACTATTTAACTTGATAGAGAACTAATTTTACCAAAAAATGTCTTACTTTGAGAAGTGGAGCTGTTGTAGCAATGGCAGCTGCTGTGGCTGCCGCGATGGTTGTGGCTGAATCTATATTGCTGTGTGCTGACCTGGTATCTTGAGCACTCTCTTTCTTTTCCGTAGATACATTTTCTAAAAGCTGTACCTTCACCTCCTTAAATACTGGAGGGTTTTGGGTTCTATAAATACAAAACATACCTTCCTGTGAATAGCATTCTTGTCAAGTACTGATCAAACATAACGTTCCCATTCCCTCCACTCCTGCCCCATAAACTAGCCTTTCCTCAGCACTATTAGCCATTGCGAGGCTTTCCAGGGATATCCAGGGTTGTGAGGGACCTCACCACCCCCTGCCCTTAGCATGTCTTTGCCTGCGATGGATCAGTTCCATGAAACCACCAGCCTCTGGCAACACAAGCTGCCTTCCAGGCCTTGGCAGGCCTTACTCTCTCTGTACAGGTTAGCAACACACACACACCAACCCACAAGCCTTCCAAATGTCCCCCGGAAGTGCTCAGCCCCTGTTTAACTGGACACTCATAGAACTCCTAGATTCGCTTCCTCCAAAGGAATAGTACACATCAGCTTGTAAGAGTCAACTTAACACACAGCACTTAGATATACTTATAGTGAAAACAAGAATATGTTTATTATCAAAGAACAGAGATTCAAGTGAAAGAACAAGAATACAGGAAACAAATAGTTACACATAAAACAGAATCATAACATGCTTTCTACAGCCTAAGCTTAATACACAAGGCATTCCCTATCCCTTACAAGACAGCTTACAGAAAGTCTTTTTCCAAGCATTTTCAGTCAGGTTGGATGAAATCCCTTCTCATAAGATAGACTCCAATGGCAACTTGTCCTCACAGAATGAAGGAATAACTTGGGGGTTCATTTGCATCCAGATATAGTTTCAGAAGTTCATTGTCCTACTCCTAAACAGGATAACTCTTGCTGGTTTTGTTTTTTCCTGCAACCCTCCACAACCTAATGATTGGTATTTTGCTCGGTCTGTAAATGGGCATCCACTGAGAACCACACAATACTTAATTTGCACATGACCAGCCAGAGTGAGATAAGCATCTCTTCCCATTTCCCTGCCAGGAGTATGTGGATTATCTTTTGGTGACCTGTCTTAACTCACAGATCTAAAGAACATAATTTTTAGTATCTATACATAACTTCACATATTTTCTGTACATGCATCTCACAATTATTATGATTTCCAGTATGACACAGACTTTCATTACCAACCTTACATGACATTCTTTGCTGGACCAGCATGTAGATATCAGACCCAGGGGATTCCTGTAACTCTTATGTACCCCTGTGCCCTTTGCCAATTGGCATCAAGAGGTCCTTGGGTCAGACCCATACAGGCATTTATGGCTTCTCCAACAATAAACTTCCTTAAAGAAAAATTACACATTTCTCCCACACAGCTGACACTAAAGAATTTTATTTAAACCTTTATTGCAACAAGATAATAAAGATTTGTTACAGAGGTATCATTTGTTAATGTTTGTAATATTAAGGGCATGGTCTGTCTATGGTATGACTGCAACCATGACACACAACGGGGTTATACACTGGCTGTCACCTAGATCAATTACATATACAGTTCTAGACTGTGGTATAGACTTGACCTTATTCAAGCAGTCTGTAACCAGGCTACAGTCCAAATTGAAGGCTGCTAGCGGCGGGGACCTTATCTCCTTATTTGTTTGTAAAATGCCTTGCATGCTTTTGGCACTAAATAAATCAGAACAATTCCTGCCCCCTTTTTTGAACACTAAGGCATTATTCCAAAAGGTTTTTGAAAGCATTAAAGAAAAAAAAATGTACAAAATAGTAAAGACACTGTAGGGCAAATAGACTTCAAACCAGAAAATGAGTTCTGAAAAAATACTTCCACAAGTATAAACAGAATATTAATGGAGGAGGATAAAGAACCATTTTCCTATTACCAGCGCTACTAAGAGGGATCAGGGAAACCAGGAACCACATATCTTAATAGAAACTGAACAGCTGAGACATTATTAACAGCTCAAACTTACCTCTGCTTTAATACAGCGCGTAAAGCTTCTTTCTCGCCAGTAGTGTATTGAGAAATAAATATATCACCATCTGTGAAACAATAATATAATATACACTTTGTCAATTTAATTTTCAGGTCTCATTTTATAAAGGTAAAAACAAAGTTATTTCAGTAACATGTAGAAATTTGGTATAAAGTACGTCACAGCTGAATACACAAGCCACATTATTTCAGAGTGTAAATGTTTTCTTCACAGGTAATAGCTTTAAGTTATGAAAAGACAAACATTAGGCATCATTTAACATAGGGCTAAAAAATCTGAGTATCGTTCGCTACTGTGTTTTAAAAATAGTCAGTGATAAGACAACCCAATGTGCTTTGAAAATAACTATCAATTTATTTTCTCTCACATAAAGCATTGAAGAATTTGAGAATGCTGTCAAAATAATGACCGTTTTGAATGTGTGCACTACATGACATATACATTTAAATTGTGCAAACTCTAACTGAAACTTTCTAACAAACAAAAATGAACTAAAACTGCATGGTATTACTATTACTTTTTCCTTTGCTATCATAAAGTGCAACAAAAGCCTTCACCCACCATCAAATGCTCTAGAACAGGGGTGGGCAAACTTTTTGGCCCAAGGGCCACATCTGGGTATGGAAATTGTATGGCGGGCCATGAATGGTCACAAAATTAGGTGTTGGGATGTGGGAGGGGGCTCCAGGCTGGGGCAGGGGGTTGGGGTGAGGGCTCCAGCTGGGGGTGCGGGCTCTGGTGTGTGGCTGGGTACGAGGGGTTGGGGGTGCAGGAGGGTGCGCCGGGCTGGGACCGACAGGTTCGGCGGGGGATCAGGGCTGGGGCAGGGGGGTGGGGTGCGGGAGGGGGGCAGGGGTCCAGGCTCTGGGCAGTGCTTACCTCAAGCAGCTCCTGGAAGCAGCCGCATGTCCCCTGTCCGGCTCCTACGTGAAGGCATGGCCAGGCGGCTCTGCGTGCTGCCTCATTCACAGGCGCCACCCCCACAGCTCCAATTGGCCTCAGTTCCCAGCCAATGAGAGCTGCGGGGGTGGCGCTTGGGGCAGGGGCAGTGTGCATAGCCCCCTGGCTGCCCCTACGTGTAGGAGCCGGAGGAGGGACATGCCGCTGCTTCCGGGAGGTACGCGGAGCCACGGCACGCGCAGAGTGGGGCAAGCCCCCAACCCTGCTCCCTGGCTGGAGCATGGGAGCGAGGCAAGCCCCAGACCCTGCTACCCGGCGGGAGCTCGAGGGCCAGATTAAAACGTCTGAAGGGCCAGATGCGGCCCCATGGCTGTAGTTTGCCCATCCCTGCTCTAGAAGTTCCCCTAATCAGGATTCTCTCCCATTGTGCATCACAGAGGACCCCAAATCCAATAGTCATAAGCAAGCTGCTCCAAGTTTACTTAGTATAGGATCTTGAAAATTCAGAGGAAGCAGCACTGCTTGCCACAGGTAAACTATGTTACAATACAACCTTGCTAATATGCATATTGCTGATCTGCACATTTTATAATGCACACACAACAGAGCAGCCTTTTACCTCCCTCTCAGCAAAGATTTAACAGAAGTTGTAGTAAGATCTCATTATCGATACTACTGTACATTATTTAACAAAACACATATGTTGCACCTTGATAAGAAGGGCTCGGCCCTCCTTCACCCCACCCTGAGGGCTGCACAGAGGGTGGATCTTTTCTTAATATACTAGGTAGTATCAGATAAGGTTAAATTGCACTTGATAAGCAATGAGCAAAGTAAATTTTGCAATGCATTAACCTTACCAACCCCTCAAATGTTTCTCTGGGGGACATACCCCAGTTTTGGGACCTCTAATCTAGCCTGAACTCCTGCGTAACACTATAGAATTTCATCCTAAATCAGTATTTTTAGAATTACATCCACATTATGAGACCTTTAAAAGATTTTCCTTCATGATATTGAAAAGAACTCAGAAAGAAGTCTTGTATGTCTGGGCAGTTAGCTTCCGCACCACCATTTTAAGCATTATCAGGATAACTGTGTTTTCAATTATTTCTTTTCCCCCTCAACAAATATTAATTCAAAAACTCACAGAAAGCAAAACCACTGCCAATGCTCAGGGAAGAGACTATAATTATGTCTTTAAGAGTTAACAATTTTACACAGAACATAGGTTTTTTTTAGTGTAGATATTCCATATTATATGTAATTAAAAGGTGAGAGAGAAATATTAAAAAACAGATTTCTTTGCCTATATTAACATCTGATTATTAAAGCTAAAAGAGTTTAAAAATGTAGTTTACTTTTTGGTTATAAACTCCTTTCATGTTCGATGCATCACTTAGTAAAATGCTGCACAAATTATAGATGAATAACTTTTTTTTAAAATAGCTTTTTTAGAACTGAACAAAAAGTTCATAGAAAGCTAGCATGGACCACTGTGATCTGTCCTCCGAGATAGCTTGGCTATAGGAATTCTCTGAATTAATTCCTGTTTGAAATAGAACATATATTTATCTTTATTTAAAAGTTTCCAATGATGGAGGATCAACCATAGCCCTTAATAAGTTGTTCCAATGGTTAATTACCCTCACTGTTAGAAATGTATTTCTTATTTACAATGTGAATTTGTTTAGCTTCAACTCCCAGAAATTGGATTGTGTTTATAACTTTGTTTGTTAGATTGAAGAGCCTTCTTTATCAAGTTTCTTTTCTCCATATAGGTACTTACAGACTGAGATCAAGTCACCCATAAACCTTCTCTTTAAGCTAAACAGATTGAGCTCCTTGAGTCTATATCACTACAAGGCATGTGTTCTAATCCTTTAATCATTCTCATGGTTCTTCTCTCCAATTTATCAACACCCTTCTTGAACTGTGCACACCAAAACTGGACACAGGATTCCAGTAGTGCTTGCACCAATGCCAAATACACAGAGGTAATATAAAACTCTCTACTCCTACTCAAGATTTCCCTGCTCATGCATCTAAGGCAGTGGTGGGCAACCTGCGGCCAGCTGATCTAAAGAGTGCATTAGCACTTCTGGCCACAGCACTGCGCAGGAAGCTTACGCTCAGCTGGTTATCCACCATGACCCCCAAGTCTTTTTCAGAATCACTGCTTCTCAGGATAGAGCCCCCATCCTAAGTATGACATTTGGCCATTCTGAAATACATATTGTTTGCTTGAGTCCTGCTTACCAAGCAATCCAGTTAGCTCAGTATCAGTGATCTCTCTGCCTCATTATTCGCTACTTCCCCAATCTCTGTCATCTGCAAACTTTATGGGTAATGATTGTTTTCTTCCAGCTTATTGATAAAAAATGTTAAATAGCGTAGGGCCAAGACCTAAGTACCCTGTAAGCTGCGTGGTCGCGCAGCAGGCTCTCAAGGGCCACGCAGGCGGGGAGAGGAGCCCCTCCCCCGGCCCAGCCCAGGCCCCACCAGGGAGAGGAGCCCTTCCCCTGGCCCAGATCCACCAGAACTGCCGGGGAGAGGAGCCCCAACCCCAGCCTGGCCTGGCCCCACCCCGCTGGAGCTGCTGCGGATGGGGAGAGGACCCAAGCTGCTGTGGCGAGAGAGGGCTGAGGGGAGTCCTCTCTCCCCGCTGCAGCTCCAGGCCAGCCTGCACTCCATTACCCCAAACCCCTCATCCCCAGCCCTACCCCAGAGCCTGCACCCCCAGCCGCAGCCCTCACCCCCCAACCCTCTGCCCCAGCCCTGAGCCCCCTCACACACTCTGAATCCCTCGGCCCCACCACACATCACCTCCATATTGGTGCACATAACAAAATTCATTCTGCATGTGGACGTAAAAAATTAGAGAGAACACTGGCCAAGACCCAATCTGTGCAGGACCTCACTAGAAATACATCTGCCAGTTTTTAAACCATTTAATGGGACATGTTGATTGTGTATTGTTCTAATTTCTTAATCAATATGTTGTGCGATACCAAGTCAAATGCCTTTCAGAAGTCTATTACATCCACACTATTACCCTTATCAACCAAACTTGAAATATCATCAAAAAGATGAAATTGCAATGTTACCAGTCCGGTTAAAGTCTTATAAATATTAATGTTAAAAATATATATAAGTTAGGGGACAAATCTGACCAGTGTAATTAAAATTCAAATCCCATTTTCAAAAAGCTGATTCCAAACAAATCTCATTTTTAAAAGATATCGCTTTTCCTAGAAATTGGTTGCTTACAAAAATATGCACACTCACGGCAGCAGTTACTGACCTCATGCTAATGTCACCAATCAAGCACTTTAAAACAAAAATTGCAAGCTCTTGAATATTCTACTAAAAGGCATGCACCACTTCAGTACTAGGAGGCTGCCAAGATTTCTGGCAATGCAGTTTAACACACTACTGGAAGGTGCTCGGATACTACAGTGATGAGCATAGTCGTATGGTAAAGTACAGAATGAAATAGAATAGAACTCCCACTGTTAAAAAACAAGGATTTAAGTTATCTTCATTTTACTAGTGGAACTCATGAACTGCAACATCTTGACTAACTATTTTTATACTGAAGGAAAAGATATGAAACAAACGTATTTTATAGCTATTTTCCAAAATAGCTGTTTTCTTAACAATGGTTATAGAAGTCTGATTTTTGTCTTACCTTCTGGTCTATTTCCATCTTCCATTACTTGCAAAGGAACTCCTTTTACTGCAGCTTCCTTAGAGTAATCCTTTAGGGATAGGTGTGAGGGGAAAACAAACATTAACAACACGTATCAAGAAGAATTTATTTTTAAATTGTTTATATATTAGTTCAAAATACAAAAGAAATATAGTATGCAATTATAAATCAGTAAAGTATGTCTCATTTTTTAATCAGCACCCAAAAGTTTCAGAAATAGACACGACTGCTGAACATGTGGGCATAAAGACCTCCACATTGAAGTAATACAAACTGCTGTTCAGAGACCCTACTATCTGTACCCTCTAACCTAGAATAATATTGATTGAGATATTTTTCTGGACAGTAATGCATCTAGACTAAAAATAAGAAGTAATCTCAATATTAAGGTGTTTATTTTGCACATTGGTGGCCAAAGGATTTTAAACAAATAACTCATTAATATGTGTTTATCTTAACATGTGCAAGCAGTCCCAATGAATTCATCATTACTACTCAAGCACATCAAGCTAAGCATATACATAAGCATGACTGGGGCCATATAATGGAATTTATTTCACTGAAATAAACCTTGAATAATCATGCTCTACTGGTTGGGTTGAGGAGATAGAAATCCACCAGCTTACCCTAAATTTTGATGTGGGTTGGCAGAACAGTACTCTACAGTCGTGGTTTTCAACCTTTATTCATTTGCGGACCCCTAAAAACTTTCAAATGGAGGCATGGGCCCCTTTAGAAATTTAAACTGTTGTACTCTTTAAGTCTTAGACTGAAAATTGACTGAACAGTATTCAACTATAAATGTTGCATGTACATGGCACGGCATTCAACACAATGTGAGAAAGGGTGCTAAATGTGGGCTTCTGTGGTAACGACAATACTTCTGGGTTTTGACCTGTAGGTGGGGGTATTCACATACTTTTGATTGATCAGAAAAATGGAATGCCTTTTCTGGGATCTGAAACTTTATTTTCATAGTCACATCTCGCAGACCCCTTAGATATAGTCTTCAGGCCCCCAGGGGTCTGCAGACCACAAGTTGAAAACCACTGCTCTACAGTCACTACTTCAGCCTAGGAGTAGGGCTAATAGCTACCGGTCCTATTTGCCACTACTCAACTGTCAATGGATCTACTCTGAGGCATATAGAAACCCATTTGCAGTCCCTTCACACCACAGGAGACAGGAGAATTTTATCCTTATGCATGGCCGTGTACAATGGATTTGCTAAAAACAGATCTCAACAAATACAGACTACAGAAAATATAGCAAATATAAAAGGAGGAACTAATTGAGCTAGAAAGGGTCACATCAAAATATTAAAGACATTTAAATAGATTATGAACTAATGTCTATTTAAATCAACGATGGCAGGAAGCAAAAGAAACTATAATCGTAATATTAAAGGTCTCCAGGAAATCATATTGATTTGTGCTATTCAAGGAGCAGAAATTTCATAGGAAGAATTACACTATAATTTGAAAAAAACAGTTGCTATAGGTGGAACATAAGAAAACGATGCATGCATACTCACTCTATACTAAATAGGTTAAGAGAATATAAAGGCTCTGATCCTGCAAAGACTTATGCATGTGCATTGACTTCAATACTTCCAGTGCATAAAGTTAAGCACATGCAGAAGTCTTCGCAGGAACAGGGCTGAAGTCAGATAAGCCTCTGGGAGAGAGAAGTAGTTTGCTGATCTACAAAAATTTGGATCATATATATAAACTTTTAAGATGGAAGTATGGCATACACTTCAGGATTGTAGGATCAGGAATAGAACAGTAACTCTTCTTACCTTCTGTGATAATAGTGTGGGTTCTAAATCATTTTCTACCGAAAGAAGATGTTCTGAACTTCTTTCAGCCAACATACTTCGGACAGCTAAAATGAAAGAGACTTTAGTGTAGTTATCATAGAACAATATCATAGAATATCAGGGTTGGAAGGGACCTCAGGAGGTCATCTAGTCCAACCCCCTGCTCAAAGCAGGACCAATCCCCAGACAGATTTTTGCCCCAGATCCCTAAATGGCCCCCTCAAGGATTGAATGTACAACCCCGGGTTTAGCAGGCCAATGTAGTTTATGCATCTGTGACAGGTATAACTAGTCTGTCCCAGATCTTTGTCATTTCTATATCTGTACCTTTAAAAATCTAAACTAAACAAAATGACCTTCATTGCACAAATGAGCTCAGTGTGTCAACTTGGAACTGGCATATTAATGAACAATGCCTGAGATGCAACATAAATCTGTTTGACACACAAGAGAAACTTGCTGAAAGTGAGAATTGCAAATGATGCAATGACAACTCTGGATCAAATTCAGTAGGAAATCAACAAATTAATGGGGTAATGCATTCTGATGCCCTTTTACAAAGATAACATCTTGTAAAGTTGTGTGATCCTTTGATCAACAATGAAAACTTTATTTTCTAAGGAGATAAGAGGCACACTTTAGCCCAGTAAATTCATAGCACAGGATGTGTCAATTTTAGCTATTTTAAATGAACCCATTACTGTAGTTTCTAGGTGACAGGGAATAAGATATAGCTTTAGCTTCCAGACATCTAAGATACACTTGAAATGTAGGGAGAAACACTGTTAAAGGGATGTCATCAACTTAAAAAAAATTTAAATTTCTAACCTGAAAATGCTTTACTCACTATTGTAGCAAGCACCAAAAATTACCAGAACTTAAAGATTAGAGGAAATAATATATTATGTTTTTTCAGTTTATTTGTATATTTGTCAGTAGTTAATTGGGTTCAGCTGTTTGTGTGGGTCTTTCACAAAGCAACACCTCAGAAAAAAACTAAACTGTAAAAATCTCATTTTAATATTGTAATCACACTAATTACCAGGAAGAAACAGGGGCAGCTGTTGTATCTGAAACTCTTTTTAAACACAGTTTGGTTTTTTTTTAAACTGACTACCTTTCAAGTTAAATGTGTCCCTCTAAACATGCAAACATTATGTAACCAAAACAGAGGGGTCACTGGAATTACCTTTTTTGAAATATCCATACAAAGCATGTAATATTTAACATATTTTCATGACTGTTTTCTCTACTCTAAACTGCCAATAAATATTTCTTTCTAATCTCAGTAGGTTTTGGTCATCATACATTGAGAAATCTATCAGTTCCGGCTCTCCGAGCAAATTAATCTGTCATTTTAAAGATAGAGATAGCTGCAAGTGCATGAAAAGGCCTGTGATCTTTCCTCCAGTACAGTGCTACAGAAGGACCTGCAATCCCCATGTAGGTACAAAGAGGGCTAAAACAATCAAAAGGTACAAGACCCAGAATATCCTTCTTTCTCTTTCACCATAATGAATAGCCAATGGCAAATTTATCATCACAATGAATGTACTACACAGAATTTGCAGCAATATTTAAGGAGTGTGTGAAGTCTGGGGACATTTTGTACAGAGTTAGAAAAACATTCTAAAATATTTTATACAAAACATGTTAAAAACAAAATAGTATTTCACAAAACTGGCTAAATGGCATCTGGTCAATTAGGAAACAAAAAAAAGTATAACCAATTCATATCGATCTTTACAGACAACTTTCCTAATATACATACGTATATAAATGAGATGCTGGAAAAAGGATATGGCTAGACAAATTACCCCACAGAAATCGGGTTTGATCACATACCCTGTGTAACGCTGCTGGAGGTAGTGACAGTTGATCTATTCGGCTGAGGTTTGTTTGCTGACAATGCTGGAGGAATATAGGCTGTTTTGTTTTTATTCAAAGCTGCATCATCTGCCTGGTAGGGAGAAGCCACTTCACGAAGCTTCTTTACTGAAATTTTAACTTTTTTTCTACTGCAGTCAGTAGCGGCTGTCCAAGTGCCAGTGGGTTTTTCTTTTGTGTGGAGGCTGGTGGAGCGGATAAGCACGTCACCGGCAGTGAAGCTAGCCATAGAGTCCTGGCTGACACTAGAATTACTTTCCACCTCCATGAAGAGCTCACAGTGCAGTTTTCAACACTCCCAACCAACCTATTAATGGGGTTTAATAACATTATTAACCAAAAGGGACAGTTTATTAATGCTCATGAACTGATTATAGACAGAGGCACCCACATCACAAAAACCTAGGATTAAAGAAATAAAAGCGTGGGGGGCGGGGAGTGAGTGGGGTTTACAAGGTACAGTAGTCAGATTCCAGCAAATTATCCCTGGAGCTAAGCCAACACAAACAACCAGTCACCGCTCCTCCCTCTCAGCCCTCATCGTCTTGCCATGGGAGGGGCAGGGACTATCTACCCTGAACAGTTCTAATGGGCCTAACGCCACAGGATTTCGGTACCAAGCAGGGCCCACCTAGCCAGCAGCAGTGCTATAGCGGGGATAGGGTGAATTGGGATGCAGGACCCCCGCCCGCAGGGCACAGGCTCCCTCCCCTGCCTCCCTGCAGGGCACAGGGTGCACGGCTCCCTCCCCCATCCCCACCCCTCCGCACCCCCAGGAGTACAGCCCCTTCCCCACACAACCACCTTGGGGTGCAGGGGGGGTGCCCTCGCCCCGTTTTCCCCGGAAGCTGCAGCACACCCTCCTTCAACCCCTTCCCAGCAGCCACCGGAAATGCTAGTTACCATGGTAACAGCAGCAGCAGCAGCAGCAGCAGCTACCCCCCCACGACTCCCGCCCCTTCCAACCCAGCGGCGCCTGCCTGCCCAATCCTTTCCCGGGTAGCACCGCGCATGCGCTTGCTACTGCAGGCTTTCGGAAGCTCAGCATCAATACGCATGCGGAGGGAGGGATTCGGTCTGCGCGCGAGAGGCCGCATATCCAGGACGCATGCGTAAATCCGCCTCCCACGGGAAGGCCATTCGCTAGCGCTGCGTGGTCCCCCTTCTTTACTGTCCGGGTGGAACAAATACGCGATACAACCAACTGCTCCCCGTTATATTGCTGTAATAGCCACTTATGGTTCAGCTCTGTACTCTGGGAGCATAGTGTTCTGGTACGGCTGTTCACGCCGTACTGTGGCCCGCCCCAGGTTCTTCCGGGACACGGGGGACACTTTACAATGCTACACCATACTGCTCCGCGGGCCAAGGTAAATCTATCAGCGGATCCCTATGTGCCGATTCGTCTCCACGAGGAGGGTGGGGGAAAATCGTGGCGAATTTGCGGGGCGGAAGGAGGAGCTGAGGCTGCCGGTTCCCCCCACGTGTTGAGAGGCGCCGGGCGCAGAGCAGGTGAGTCGGGGAGCGGGCCTGGGTGTCAGGACTCCTGGGTTCCATCCCTGGCCCTGTTTGTGTGATTGGGGTGGGAGCCCGTGCCTCAGTTTCCCCTGTGTGGTGGGGCGGTGATGCTGCCCCCTTGCCGGGGGCCCGTGTCAGGGCAGGACATTCGGTCCTTGGGGAGGCTCAGGGCGCTGCCGGGCTCGCTCTCTATCGCCCCCTCCTCACGTGTTCTTGGCACCAGGTGGTGGCTCGGGCTCTCCGCTGAGACTCCCCGGCAGTGACCTTCGTTCTCCTAATGTGGCTGCAGCAGCCCGGGTGTACGGCTCATGGCTACTCGTGTCACCGGGGGAACAGACTGGCAGGCCAGGGGATCTGGCTCTAGCAGAAACTTTCAGAGGAGATTAGATTTTCTGCCTGAAAAGGGAGAAGCAACAAAGACTCCATAGAGACCACGAGAGACTTCACTGTTGATAGCATTTTTATGTGGCAGGTGCTATGGAGTGATCTAAAACTCTGAAATAGATTTAGCATTTTGAAGAATTGTTGTAAATGTAGTTATGGTCATAGAGTTTAAGGCCAGAAGGGACCACTCCATCATTTAGCCTGACCTCCTATATAGCATAGGCCACCAACAACACACACTAAACTCAACCACCCAAATTAGACCAAAGTATTACGGCCCAGTGGAAACTAGACTATTACTTTCCAGAGGCTAAGGAGAGGAGGGACCATGCTGCACCAGGGCTTTGAGGCCCCCACAGTAGCATGGAAATAAATAAGATATCCCAAGATAGGTGTAGAAGTGTAAGAGCTTTGTGATAATTTACTATCAAGGTCATGTACTCATAATTTGTATTATCAGTCCTCTTTGCATCTTCACAACCCTTATTTATAGTTATTATTTACAGTTATCGTTTAGGCACTACACAATTACAACTGTTTTTGTAACCAGTTTGCAACATACTTTCATGAGACTCATTTACAACAAACATGGAGGAGATGCATCCATGCAGCAGCTTTTTTCCACAATACAGCCATGTATCAATATAGGTTTTATGTCCATACCACACTACTTAACTGTTTATCCCTTCTGGAGAAATCTGGGCATCTAGTGTATTAGCACTATAGTATCTGAGGGCATAAAAAAGATGTTACTAATATAATCAGCTCCAGGTAGGAAGCAAAAAAGTAATGTGTAAGATGTGTGCATTGATCGATACTTGTTACCCTACATCAGGAAGCATATTATTGCATTTGAAGGAGATGCAGGGTTCAGCAGGACCAAAAAATTGTCTGTCTGAAGAATGTAAGTTATGAGGAAAAGTTAATCTGTTGGACTTATTCTTGATGCAAGAGAAGAGATTTCAAGGTGACCTGAGACAGGCTTCCCAAATTCATAAAAGGGATTAATATATTTGATATTCCCCTGGTAAGAGATTCAGAAACAAAAGGGTGCAATTTCAAAACTAGGAGCAAATAGGGAATTCCAGGCAGAACAACTGCTTCACACAAAAGATAATAAATGTATGGAATAACTATTTGGGAATGGGATGGAAAAAAGGCCAAATTCAGACTCCTTTCACCTGTCTGCAGAGACTTCATTGGCATTTTATCCACTTGTATCAGGCTGGAATTTGGCTCAGTGAACACAAAGGAGGGAAAGAAAGCAAAGCATTGTTGAAGGTGAAACCTGAAGGACACAGTGAAATATCAGGAAGAAGGGATTAAGATAAATCTGCCTTACCTGAAGCCTTTCCACCTAGGGCTGTGACCTCATCAGATCACCAGATAAGTGGGGTCAGGCCTGGTCAGTACTTTGATTGGAGACCACCCAAGGGAAAAAGCAGAGAAGCTGTTTCGTTTTTTAAAATGACATTGCGTATGCTCAGAATTTGTTCAGGATGTTTCTAATAGATCTCTAACGTTCAGCCTTACTAAGCCAAATTCAGCTCTGAACTTATTGAACTCAGTGGAAGAAAGGTCCATTAAGGAGCTGTGCATGCTTACTTCAGGGCTGAATCTGGCCCACTGACCTTGTGCACTGGATTGTAATTCATAATACATGCAGTGTCTGAGTATAATTTGTGAATTATTTAGAATAAAAATATTTTATACATGGTAACTACATTAAGAGCATGACAAAGGTTTGAAATAAAACAATACAAAGTAATTCAAAAGTACGGATGACATGTGCCCTGACTCTCAAGCACAAGAGGGAGCTCCAAAGCCGTTTCTTTGATGTGTTGGTTGGGCCTACTGTTGGAGGACCTAAAGTACACCAACACTTGACACAGAATTTCCTGGGTCTTGTGTTGTCACAGCCTTGGTTTAATTTTAGTGTGAATTACTCTCAGTCCTAGTGGTTTTCTGTGTAGCTGTACTTTGATTAGGTTAAATAAAAGCATTTCTGAAGCTCTACCTCAACGGATTAAGAACAAGTTCTTAAATTCAGCTCCAGCATGACAACTCTTAACTTCCCAGACTGTCCAATTTTAACACACTTCTGTGATTTGACTCTCTTCTTCTCTCCTGTCTTCCTCTCCATTAAAAATATATACACTTACAATGAACCCTCTCCACTCCTCGCAGTGGGCCAGTTACAGAAGTTACTGATGGACCTAAAGGTACTATGTGGTAGTTCCAGGGGTAATGTAAATTCAGGTAACAATTGGAGCTTGCTCTAATGCTGGACCTTCATAACAAGCCATGATTATATAGTCTGTCAATAAAACTATTATTTGGCTTCATACAGAAGAATACACTAGGGGGTCCATC